CAGCTGTGGGATGGGAGGTACCTCCTGAAATGAAACATTAACCTCACAAAAGATGAGGAACCTGAGGCACAGAGACACGAGGCAGCTGGCCCAAAGGGGCAGAACTGACTCCAGAACCCACTTCCCTGACCCTCTTCCACTTCCGGAATTTCTTCCCACGACCATATATTCAGGTACCACTTGGATAATGGGCATCACATACAATAGGAAATTTATGAATAAATCAGGTCCTTACATTAAAAAGGCTCTCCCTGTCCACAAAAAGACACCCAAGTCCAGAGCACAGGAAGCCCTACCTGGGGGAGGGGGTGTGGGCACACCAGACACCACTTCCCTGATAGGAGGTTCTACCCTGAAAGACCCCCCCGCCCCATAGCTGCACCCTTAAGCAGATCCTTCGACCCAGGTGTACCGGGAGCATAGAGTTGCTTTTTGTCAGCTCTGGGATGATTTTATTACTTGAAATAGGCAGGATTTGGGGGTATGGGGTGGCGTTGAGCCAAATCCACAAAAAATAAGGAGAAATACCATCAAGGTGGCAGCAGATGGCACTGCTAGCTAGGCCTGGGAGCACAGCAGCTCCTGGGACTGTCCAGGAGGGGGCGTTGCAGTGCCTCTAGGAGACAGGATGAGGCACCCACCTCCCTGGGAGATCCCAGGTCCCAGTAAGAGGGGCACTGGAGACCCAGAGAGAGAATAACAATGGGCCAGGGGTGGAGCTGGGACTCAGACCTGCCTGCCTCCTGAATCCGGGCTACACTGGATAACCTCCAGGCTTCTGCCATGATACTAGCATCCCTCCGAGCCAGGCTGACACCCGAGGACCTACTGGCCGTTGACATTGGCCACATTAAACGCAGACAGCGTATAACGCAATATGTATATGTCCTTATATTTGTAAACACACAGATATATTGAAAAATTCTAGAAAGACAAAACCATTACTGAAGGTTAATAGCTGTGTGCTGAGATCACTGGTGTTTTCATTTTCTTTATAATATTTTTTAAATTGTGGCAAATACGCATAACATAGAATTAACCACTAGTGAGATACAGTACGTTTACAATGTTGTGTGACCATCACTATCACTACCATGTAGTTCTAGAACATCTTATCACCCCGAAAGGAAACTGGTACCTGCTTAGCAGTCATTCCCAATCTCCCTTCCTGCCCCCCGCGCCCCCCCCTCCCCCCGCCCCTCCAGTCGCAACCACTAATCTGCCTTCTGTCTCGATGGAGTTGCCTATTCTGGACATTTCACATATCATTTATTATTTTTTAATACTTTCTAAATTTCTATTTTACAACAAGAATGGTTGACTCTTACAATTACAGACAAAACAAGCTCCAGTAACACTGACCCCTGCGCAGGCCGCTCCGCTCCCATCGCGTGGACAGAGGGCCCCCCTTGTAATGACGTCTCGCCGATCTAGAGCCTAGCCCGACCTACTTCCGCCAGCGTGATGATTTCCTGTGTAGGAACGCAGAATCAGAAGACAGGGACCATGCTGCAGACGATGATAGAGAACTGGTGAAAAAAACCAGAACAAGATGAACTGCTTGGTCAAAGAGCCAAAAAAGCAATGATACCTAAAGCAGAAACGTTAGACGGCCATGACCAAGGATGGCCAGGTATGGGGAGCCGAATCCGCCGAAGGCACGGTCGTGGCCCGACGGC